GGTGTTAGGAATGGAGGTATGGAGGTGTGAGACGACCAAAAAAAAAAGATGTAAATTCAGAACATCAAGGCAGGAGTAAATCATTTCGTTTAAAACACGGGACCTCCTACCTGGCATATCTTCGTGTTCATACACTGGTACCGATCTTGGCAGATCTGTGGCTAGTTGCAGTTTTCCCCCGTCTTCACCGTCACCGGCGAAAGAACGGAAAATGGCGGTCAGGTCTTCTGCGGTGTATTCCTTTACTACGCGCACTTTGGGGTTTGATGACGCGGCGGCGTCACTCGAGAGATCGATGATGTCGCCATCTAGGTCTATGTCTTTTGCTTTCATTTTTTGGTATTTTTTGTAGACGTTGCGTATGCTGTCTGGAGGGCGTTCATGGGGGTCTAGGTGGTGCATTTTGCGTGTGGTCTTGACAGCAGGAATTCGGGGGAAAGTGAGGATGTATGTGTAGATGTATGAAGCGGCACGTATAGTGATGATGGGAACCTTGGAATGGAGAAACGTGGGAGGGTATTGTTGACTAAGCTCGCGTTTGTGGCTGACGGGTGCGCGTTGCCCGATGCGTCAAGGGTGTTTACATCCCGAATTTCCTAACACCAGACACCCTCGTCCCCTGCTCCCCGCTGCACCTTCCTCGCTGCCCGCACGTACTAACCACAGGTACACACGAGAGGCATCCAATACCCTCGTCCCACCTCGAACCGGGAATAATACAGACTCGCGGCGAAACTGCATCTCCCGCGATCCACCTAAACACGCTTGACCGCTTGTCGTCTGAAGCAATCGCAGTCCCCAGCCCGCCACAATGGAGAACTACCAGAAGTTGGAGAAGGTCGGAGAGGGTACGCTATTCCGTAACGGCTTCCCATGCGCCTACTGACATAATCACAGGAACCTACGGAGTCGTCTACAAAGCGCGCGACCTCACCACCAAAGACCAACGCATCGTTGCCCTCAAGAAGATCCGCCTCGAAGCCGAAGATGAAGGCGTCCCGTCGACGGCCATCCGCGAGATCTCACTCCTCAAAGAGATGAACGACCCCAACATCGTGCGCCTCCTCAACATCGTACACGCCGACGGCCACAAGCTCTACCTCGTCTTCGAGTTCCTGGATCTGGATCTGAAGAAGTACATGGAGGCGCTGCCGGTCAGCCAGGGCGGACGGGGCAAGGCGCTGCCAGAGGGATCTGGGCTGGCGGGACAGAGCCTGAGCATGGACGATAAGATGGTCAAGAAGTTTATGATGCAGCTGTGTCAGGGTGTGCGGTATTGCCATGCTCATCGCGTGCTGCATCGTGATTTGAAGCCGCAGAACTTGCTCATCGACAAGGACTGTAATCTCAAGTTGGCGGATTTCGGTCTGGCGCGTGCGTTTGGTGTTCCGCTGCGAACGTACACCCATGAGGTATGGACACCATGTATGACGTTTGGGCTTGTCTGACATATAATAGGTTGTCACGCTATGGTACCGCGCTCCGGAGATTCTTCTTGGTGGTCGCCAATACTCAACTGGTGTCGACATGTGGTCTGTTGGCTGCATCTTTGCCGAGATGTGCACGCGCAAGCCTCTGTTCCCTGGTGATTCGGAAATTGACGAGATCTTCAAGATCTTCCGGTATGCACTCTCACCCTATACTATCTCCATATACTAAGTATGTCTAGTATCCTCGGCACACCCAACGAGCAAGACTGGCCCGGCGTCACCTCCTTCCCCGACTTCAAGCCCTCGTTCCCCAAGTGGGGCCGGACAGACGTCGCAAACATAGTCACCAACCTCGATGAAGTCGGTCTGGACCTCCTCGATGCGCTGCTTGTGTACGACCCCGCCGGCCGCATCTCAGCAAAGCAGACGGTCATCCACCCGTACTTTGGCGGAATGAACGGTGACACACGACACGAATACAGCAACGGCTACCACTAGCCTGTCCCAAGAGGATGCTACGACTGTTACGCTTTGAGTGGTCTGCAGGATTGGTGGGCATGGAGACGTTAGTGTCTAGGAGCTTTCCTGCTTTGTTCTGGTTACAAGGATTGGGGCTGTGTCTTTATCGGACAGCAAATGGCGTTCTGGTCAGGGTATGCTACTGAGTAAATGCATGCAATACTACATACGACTACATCGATATCACGTGTTGAATGTGAGCCTTGGTTTCAGTGTATTACGACTACTCTGCGTCTATTCCAGCACGTTCTGATCTCAATGTTTCAGTATTCAGGCTATCCTTCTTCTACGAAGTGCAACTGTGGTTGATGGTGCTTCAGTGTATCGCAACCATGGATCTCAGTAAAATCGCATCGTGACAACCAAAGTACACCACAGCCATGTCCTGCTGATGCCAGGAGGAATGGAATATAAGACATCGCACTTGTGCGTCGTTCCTTAATACTACATCCAACTACATCAACAATATGAATTTCCTGTGCTGGCTCGCGATGCTGCCCCTAGCGACGATGATGCCCCTGGCACCTCTGAATGACGTAGCGCGCCTGCCCCACCTCAGCCCTACGGACCTGCAGGAACGCGTCCACGTACCAGGTCTCCACGGGAGGTCTGCTCACCACGCTTCCTCCACTGACTCAGCAATGACTCCCAATGCGAAACTCCTCCCGCCATCCACCGGCCCACGCCTCATCGTCTACCACCAGACTTTCCACGACTCAAACGGCACTTACCACTCGTTGCTTCCGCTGCTCACGAACAACACGGGCATCACGCATGTGATTGTCGCGGCTATCCACCTCAACGATGGCCCGGGCAATATTACGCTGAATGATCACAAGCCGGATGATAAGAGGTTTGATCAGTTATGGGGCGAGGTGAATTGGTTGCAGGGTAGTGGGGTTAAGGTGTTGGGTATGCTGGGTGGAGCAGCGAAGGGGAGTTACGAGAAGTTGAGCGGGGATGAAGAGAGTGTATGCCACCACCCCCATCCCATCATCCCTAAGATCATAAAGCTAATAAATCCCCCCAGTTCGAAGCATACTACACCCCCCTCGCCGCCCTAATAACCGCCCGCTCCCTCTCGGGCCTCGACCTCGACATCGAAGAAGCCATCCCCCTCTCCACCACCACCCGCCTCATCTCGCGCCTACGCAGCGACTTCGGCCCCGAATTCCTCATCACCCTCGCCCCCGTAGCCACAGCCCTAATCCCCGACCCCAAAATCCCCGCTCACCTCCGCCCGCCGCGGCCCATGCTCGCCAGCGGCCCCACCCCCAACCCCTTACACCCGACGCTGCGCCATCTATCCGGCTTCAGCTACCCGGAGCTCGAATGCAGCGTCTGGGGGAAAGAAATAGCGTGGTACAACACGCAATTCTACTGTGGCTGGGGCGACGCATTTACAACGGAATGGTACGATACCATCATCGCGGCAGGCTGGAAACCAGAGAAGATTGTCATGGGCGTGGTAACGAATGAGGCGAATGGTGGGGGGTATGTGGATGTGGGTCGGCTGGCGGTGGTGGCACAGCAGTTACGGCAGAGTTATTATAAAGTGGGAAGCGGGTTTGGGGGGATGATGGGCTGGGAGTATTTTAATGCGGGGGATTGTGATGATGATATCGAATATGTGTCTGGTCTCGAACTCGGCAATGAGACTGTACAGGCGGGGTGGGTTAAAGCGCTAGGACTTTCTCTACGAACGGATGTCGATCTAGATAAAACGCCTATCTATGATTTTGGTGGAGCGACGATGGGTGGGGTAGGCGGTGGTAGTGGTAGTGGAAGTGCAAGTGGAAGTGGAAGTGGACTCCAGAATATCACGGCCGACCAGATTCGCAACATGGTTAGTAACCTGCCTGCTGCGCGCGCGGCTTGGCCAGATGAGGAAGTGCAGAAGTTGGTTGTCCTGGGGTTTAGCAGGCAGGAGGCGCTGGCGGCGTTGAATGCGACGGAGGGGGATACGGAGATGGCGGCGGGGTTTTTGTTTGAGCATTATCCTTCGTAGGGTGGTGGGGATGGAGATGGAGATGGAGAAAGGAGAGAGGGGTGGGGATGTAGAAGGGAGGAGTATATATGGAGAGGGTATAATGAGTAATGATGTTTGATATACTAGACTTAAAGTACTTGAGATGGACTTTGGTGATGCCGGTGAAGTGCGCTCTCATGCTTGTTCTGCCTGCACATCAACGTTGCACTGATGCTGAAAGTCCGTCAACACGACACCAGGGCAAACAAACGATCGGAAATGGCACACGCTACTCGTTCCAGTTCAGCCTCGCCATTGAGCCAAGACACCGAGGCTCTGGTTTGGGATAATTGGCATGGCGGATGCCCTACCAAACCCATACTAGCTCCCAATCCACAATCGACAATCTACATCTCGGTCATCTGCCCGAGCATCCCGGTGTTTACCCGACATGCCACGATCCGATGACAGCTTGGCGGATGTTAGAGGTGGAAGATCTACTTTGATTCTCGCCTACGCGTGACCATCTTGCTGTGCTTGTTATCTATGCAAATCCCGCGTTTACCCCAGGAGGACAGACATCGAGTCAGTCGTGGGGGATGAATGTGTAAGTGGCTGTCCATGGAGAGATGAGACACGAGTCATGCGATGCCAAGGTGGTTTGCTACGTCATGTTGATATTGGAGATGGTGGATGGGAGATAGTAGATGAGAGATGCAACATTTAAAATAGTGAAGGATAGAGTGTAATGATATGTGATTACTATGCATAGTAAAAAAAAACGATGCGCATGGGGTATCCTCCCTCCTCTACTACCTCTGTATCCAACCCAATCCAGTCCAACCCATCGAGAGTGGTGAAGCCTAAACAAAACTGAAAATCTAAATCTATATCTATACAAATGCTGAAGCGAAAGAAACGTGTAGATGCGCCTCTGCGTCTACCATACGCTCGTGATCATAACCATAACGATGACAGGGGAGACAGGCGATGAAATACCATGAAAAACCCATCGTAGCAAAACCAACAACAAACCCCCCTCTAATCAACTAACCAACCATCCACCGCAGAAACCACCCCCCCTACCTCCCCTCACTACTCGGACTCGCCGTCCGTGGACTCTGCCTCCGACTATTCATCTGCGTATTCCGATACGTCTCCTCATTCAACGTATCCAGACTCCTTGTAGGACTGGGCGTCGTACCCCTACTACCGCGACTCCTGCTTGGCGAACTGGGTCTACTCATCGCAATCTCATAGCTGGGTAAATCCATATCCATGCCGCCAGGGGTACGCGAACCAGCGGGCGTGCGCACAGCGGTGTTGTAGCTGGGCGTGCGGGCGAGGGCGTCCATGTCGTAGTTTGAAGGGGGGAGGTCGAAGTACGCTTGTTCGGTGGTGTTGGTGTTGGTGTTGTTGGTGCCGTGGGCGGGTGTGCTTTCGCCGGAGGAATGTTGGCGGGAGGGTTGGAAGCGGGTGGGGCGGTCGGAGTGGTGCATGCTGAGGTTTGCGAGGCGGTGTTGGAGGGCAGCTGCGGAGGCGCCGCCACCGGGTTGGTGGACGGCTGCGTCGAGCGACGTGAGGTCTTCGGCTGAGCCGCGCCGCGATTGCGCGTAGAAGGGCGTGTTGGCCCCGCTGTTCATCATGCTGTGGACGCCGCCCGGCGTCATGAAGCCTGAGGGGTCGATGTCGTTGTAGAGAGAGTCGAGTTGGTGGAGCCCATATGTCGGAGGCGCGTTTTGGTTGACTTCGTCTTGGATGGCTTGGGCGTTTAGGATGTTTTGGTCTACTACTACGCTTTGGTCTTCGTTGGGGGGCAGGTTTGGTGAGATGAAGAGGTGGACGTGGTTTTTTACTAGCAGTTGTGAAGTGTGGCCTTCGGGGTTCTTGAGGTTGACGTATAAGCGCAGTTTGTGCGTTAGTCGTATGTTCTCCGTGTCCACGGATTGCCGGCAGTTCTTGAGCGACTTGGGTAGATCGAGCGTCATGGAAAAGCGATGCGACTCGTCGAATAGCGCGTCCGTGTCTTCTGTTCCATCGGGGACCCTGCGCGCAGAGTCCTCGGGCATGTCGCCTTCTGTGACCGCAACCTGCATGTCGTTGTTGTGACTTATCCGGCGGCCAGCATAGTCAGCGAACAATTGCCGCGATTCTATCAGCTCCATCTTGATTGTCGAAATCTCCACACCCTTGCGCAGAGGAATCAGCACGAAATCGGCCGATATCGACGTTCCGACAATGTAGTTCTTCTGCGGGACCGTAATCTTGTAGGCCAGCTTGTTCGCCCAGATATCCTCGTTGATCTGCTCCATGGGCATGGATTCGAGCATGTCGCGTCCGAGCGTGCGAATGACGCGGATGTGCGCCGTAGCACTGAGCTGCTTGCTCATGTACCCTCTATCCACGTGGGCCTTGAGACTATAAACCACCCAGTTGGTCGGCAGCCCCTCGACGCTCTGGTCGAGGTTCGGCGGCATCTTAAACTTGAAATCCCACTCATGGTATCCGGCATTGAGCTTGTGCGCTTTGGTCTTGCTGCCGACGTCGACGGGAAAGAGGTGGAGTTCTTCGACGAGGAAGTTGGTCTTTTGCGTAATCGGCTGCGGGCTGACGGTGTTGGTCAAGTGCCATCTGCGCGGACAGTCAATTAGCATGCAATCTTGAGCAAGTGTCGACAGGGGCGTTACCGTACGAGACTTTGCGTGTGCCCGTGAGTGTTATCCGCAAGCTCCTCACTGACATGGACTCTGGGTTGTTCAGAATCAACTTGCCCCTCAGCTCCGTCTCATGCGACTCAGACGACTCTCCATAGAAAACGACAAAAGGCGACTCCGGCCTGGGAACGAGTTAGATATCGCCATGTTGAGGTTTGGCGGTGGTAGAAGCGTACTTGATCTCCAGGGTGGGCACGGCATGTCTGCCGAAGACCCCGACACCTGGGCGAGGCATGATGTAACGAGGGTCGTCTTTTTATGAGTCGAACCAAACACCACCGAAAAGGTGTTTAGAGGGGGTTCGATTGTAGAAATGTAACCAGCGACAGTGTATCTTTCCACTCCAAGCAGGCGTAGGTGGTATAATATGCGAACGTGGATGGCGATGCAGTCAGCAAGCTGAGAGATGCTGATTCGAAGCGTGGGAGGAAGTAGACACAGAAAGCGCCGCACGTCACAGATATGCAACCAAAGTAAAGTAAGGGCAGGACTCTACTCAGCTGGCCGCGGCCGCGTGTAGGTACCGCGTTAGATATACCACATTAGCTGGCTGCGCGTGGGATAAAGCGGGCAAGGGCGGCCTGCACCCTGATGAGCTCATGGGCTGCAAGTGGAGACAAGACAAGTCCAGTAGGCCTGCTCGCATCATTGTAGTCGCCTGTCTAGCGCGGCTCCTGGTTGCGCTCACGTCTTAGAATTTTCTGGCGCAATCATTAGGCGTCGCATTGGCAGGCCGGGGCTGGCAGCAGGGGCCGTCCCAAAGAAGGTCTTCCGATAAGAAGACACCGCGAACGGCGGCCATGGCGATAGCAGCGCTGCCTGTGCAAGTAGCCTTCAGTGACATCTGGACATTGATTACGCGCGTCCAGAGTAATTCATTGCGATGCAATCATGAATACCTCCGTCTTACAGCCTATCCAACAAACCCGCCGACAACACCCACTATTCCTCATCCCTCGCTTGGAGTCACATCGCCGTCAAGCTCCTGCTCTAAGCCTAAGCTCTTCAGGGTTTTGCTTGCGGCTCTCCCGAAGTATCTCCACATGGTACTACCCAGCCTTCTAGTGCGCTTTTCTACCTCTTACGCATTGCACATGGATAGTAGCTGCGATTGCGCCACACCTGGCATGGTTGCCGCCCATCTTGCAGCATCGGCCAACCTGCAGCTCAAATTCCGAAACGTGCAAATGCACCTCGCCGGTTCCAATCTTCGACGAATACTATCGTCGAGACTGGCATTTCTGCCATCTGGTCGAACGAGGGTCGCCTGACGTGGAGGGATTGGGTGGAGGGTGTGCATGTGTATTGCGTGTCGTTGCGAAATGGGAGGGGTATGGCTATCTAGGTTTGAGTCGCGGTGTTATTCGTGTGATGTGAACCATCGTTCCTGCCTCCGTCTCACCCTGACTCCAGCTCAACTCAACGGTTGAGCATCGCCGATACAGCCACGCCATCGCCGTCACGACTGTCTTGACCGCCACGCTGAAACCAGCCACCAGCCTCCTACACTACACCACTCCACCACTCAACTCTTCCCCTACCTTAATCTCGGTCCGAGCATGCACGGCCACGAAAATCTGCGGCTAGACCTGCATTGCCGCAACTGTGGGTAATGGCAGCAGAGCCTCATCATATCCATATCATATCCATGTACATGTATGTACGTACATTAAAGTATATACAGACCCACAATCGCTTGCTTTCTCAACTACACATAATTCCCGCATCGCGGCGCCGCATGTATCCACCCTCACTATCCACAGTCCTGTCCTAGTACACACAGCTCCGACATCGTGAGCGCAATCGACATGGTTTAGACCATTTAGTTTACCGGCCGGAAACCCAGTGGGTAGTCCTCATGGTCGACATTTTTGCCGTAAAGAGTGCATGGTGGAGATAAGGAAACTTGATTTTAGGTGACGCATGTGTGTGTGTGCAGATGGATGGACTGGGTGTTCTAGAACAAAGTAAGCTTCTTCGCCCGCGCAGCATGCAAGGAAGACGGACGTGCATGTAGGGCTGAACGGCGTCTGGCACATGTCAGACTGGATGTCGGGATATATCGGAGGGATGTTGGACCTCCGATAGAACCTTGGAACTTGTGTGGCGCGCCGTTTTCAGTGAACCCACGTTTTTGAAGAATATGGTCTGTAGGCTTAGTAGAAGTATACATTATCGTAGAGATCGTCTACTTCCTAGATCGTAGTGGTGCGTACGCAGCAAAGTGCACATAAAAGCTGGCTAGTGTTCGGAGCGCACGAAAACCTCCGACCTCGACATCGATCCCGCCACCACCACCACCAAAACCCAATCGCGCGATAACGTCCTATGCAGATCCAAATACCGCGTCCTATGCATGGTTCCCATTTGCACTCGCAGACGTACTGCTGTCGTCATTCCCAGCACCTTCTTTCGGTCGGTCCCAAGTCCGGATATGGCCTGCAATACAAAGCTGTCAGCGATCCACTTCCTTATCTCTCAAATTTGCCCATCGCGAACTCAACAAATGCGTCGGCGCGGATCCCTGTGTGCCACTAAGACGGGTGTTCCTGCGCACGGCCACCCTGCGCCTGTAGTAGAAACCCGGCCTTATCGCAGATCATGGTGCAAACGTGCGCGTAACGGGTGGATATGAGGTGATTTGAACGGAAAACTTTGCTGCTGCTGCTGCTGCTGCGACTCACCGTTCTTGCATGAGGTGAGGATGCAGTCCTCTTCGAAGCCTAGCCAGCACAGTGGGTGCTCGTGGACGGATTTTGCCTATGGGTATTGGCGGTTAGAAATTGATGTTGAGGTTTCAGGCCAAACTCACCAGCACTGGAGGTAGCATGGCCGTGCGTGCCCGAGGCTCCACGGGGTGCACCACTATTTCTTCCTCGTCCGCCATGCTGCCCGATGTGAGGTTGGAGTTCGATCGTAGCCTATTGACCGAGCTTCCTCCCGTTTGTGTGCGCTGCATCTTGAGGTTCGACGAGGCGATGCTACCGCGCTGTCGCACAGACGCCTACATCAACGTTAGCCATCACAACTGTCGCTTTCGGCGACTGCACTCACTGCTCGCGGTCTGTGCAGCATGCCGACGCTGAAGTCCCACAGCAATAAACGACAGTCCTCCCCTACGCTGCCAATACGGTAATTGCGCTCGTCGCATCGCCATGGATCAAACTGCACTGCCGTCACCCACGAATTGTGGCCCTGACAGCGCGCTACCAGCATGCTGTCCTCCAAAGACCATATCGAGACGAGATCGTCTTGCCCTCCCGTGACGACATAGCGACCGTCAGGCGACCAGCAGACGCACATCATGCCGCCATAATAGCTCATGTAGTGGTGGAGCAGCTTCTCGCGAAGGAAATCCATGATCCTGAAGGACCCATCCTCGGACACAACCGCAAGATGACGTCGGTCGGGCGAAAATTCAAAGGCATTGACCTTTGACCTCGAGACTTGCCAGTAGGACACGGGATTCGTTCTCTGGTTCTTCGAGTTGACAGACTTCTTCACGGTTAAGAGGTGCTTCAGCTTCTTCTCCTGCTCCGTCAGCCCATTCTCGCTAGGAGATGTGACGGCCTCTTCTGGCACAAACACGGCGTCTTCCTTCTCCTTATCATACACCACCAGACTGCCATCCATGTGCGCTGCGAGGAACAGGTTCTCACTGTTCGGCAACCACCGTATATCCGACACGGCGGTCTTGTTGATGACACCGTTCTTGTTGATGCGCGCGTACTTTTGCGACATTGGCTCGTACCATATTATGTCGCCTGTCGAAAAGCCCATGATGATGTCGAGGTGGTTTGGACCTTTTGTGATCTGGTTTATATCGTGACATAGCGCGTGCGCTTTGGTGAAGAGGATCTTGGTCAGGTGTTCGTCTTTGGTAGGTGATGTCAAGTCCAGCCACTGGAATGCGCGGTTGATGTTTGCGAAGGCATAGAGGCCATTGGGGTTGTGTTCTTGCAATCGCTTGGTTAGGGCCTCGTGGGGAATGACTCTGGATACGAAGGACGAGTTGCTCTTAACAATGTTGCTCTTCGGTTTCCGCCTCTTAGTAGGATCCTTGGAGTCTTTGCCGTTGATGACTGCCAGCGCCGCGTTGCCTTCGCCGAAGACGGGTGTCTTCAGCCCATCCAGCGGAGACGACACGATGCCATTGGCGCTGTATGAACCACCGTCGCTCGCCTGGCTGTTGCTCTCGTGCGGCGACTCCTGTATGCTCGGGGGCACTTGCGACCGGGTGCTCGTCCGTGTGCCGAACCGGTGGAGTTGCGACTGCGAGGGCTGGCGGGGCGCAAGGGCGACCAGCGAGAGCTTGGTGCCGGCTGTGGGAGGGGAGACTGTCGTCGCAAGCGGGTTCGGGTTGTGGATGGGGGCCTCTGAGGGATGCGGCGGGGGCGTCGCTAGGTGGAGGTCGTCGCGCAGCACATAGGTACCTTTCATAGCGTCAGTGAGGGCAAGAGCTGCAGGGTCCAGGCTGGTTAATTACCTTCTCCGACGACCAGCTGGTGCTCGGGGCCGGTGGGGTGGGTGAGGGTGTTGTTGGTCTCGATAAGCTGGCCCGGCTGCGCGCCCGGGTAGCCTCCGACAGGATAGCGCGGCGGCGGAGGGAGGACGCTGTACACACATCAGTCGCGCGTCCGATGGGGGTGGAGCACGATAGGGCTGCCATTGGTGGGCGACTGGCGGTCAGCTGGAGATAGGACAGGTACTCACAACATAGCTGCTGCAGTGTAATCAGTTGCGGGCTAACTGCGGCCTGGTGGAGTCGCGGTGCCTGGCTAGGAGTGGCAGGGTAGAGTTAAGGGTAAGACATTAGCACCAGCAAGTACCGCGGCTATGGCATCGGCGTGTGAAGAGGCAGGATACGTCAATTTGGGCGCGCGCGGAGAAGGAAGCTTGTGGCCCGCGGCAGGCAGGCTGGGACTGGCATGGGAGCGCGGGCCATGGAACCATTGGGGAAGTGGAAAGCGGAGACGAGACGGGCGCCTTATGGCTCCGTGCACTGGGCAGTCTTATTAATTGCCTGCCATGCCGCTGGCCGTTGGTGGAGAGGACGAGGCATGACATGGGTCCGGCGTGTCTGCAGGGCCACTCGACAACGGTCGACGCATTGCACCTCCCAGCAGCCAATCTTGCGGGGCTGCTGGCGGGGAAGCTCCAGGGCTGCGATCGTCTCCCACGTGTGCCAAGCCTTCTGACAGCACTGGTGCTGCCCTGACCACGAATCGCTCGGAGTGCTATGAACATTGCACAAGTCTGAATATTCTCACGGCAGGTCCGACCCAGTTTACCAACCACTCATTACTCCCACTTCATCCCTCACACCTGCCCAAATGCACCAATAATGCCGCCGAGAAATGGCGACCGGTATGTGGAGCTCTTTCCCGATAGCACACTCACTAACTCCCGCAGTACGAATCTGTCTTTGCGGTGACGACGGCGTCGGCAAGAGCTCCATCATCACGTCTCTTGTTAAGGACGTCTTCGTCACAGCCAAAATCCAGCCCGTCCTGCCACAGGTGACGCTACCGCCCACGCTTGGGACGCCCGACAATGTCACCACCACCATCGTCGATACTTCCGCCCTTCCTCACGAGCGACATACTCTCCGCACGGAGCTCCGCAAATCGAACGTCATACTACTCGTATACTCAGACCACTACAGCTATGAGCGGGTGGCGCTGTTCTGGATGCCCTACTTCCGCTCGCTGGGTGTCAACGTGCCAGTGGTGCTGTGCGCGAACAAGTCTGACATCGCCTCGAATGGCACAACATCCCAAGTCGTGTCGGAGGAGATGCTGCCCGTCATGAACGAGTTCAAGGAGATCGACTCCTGCATCCGCACCAGCGCCAAGGACCACCACAACATCAACGAGGTCTTCTTCCTCTGCCAAAAGGCCGTCACACACCCGATAGCGCCGCTATACGACTCCAAGGAGAACGCACTCAAGCCAGCAGCCGTGTCTGCACTACAACGCGTCTTCCATCTGTGCGACACAGACAAGGATGGGTACTGGAACGATCAGGAGATTCACGATTTCCAGATCAAGTGCTTCGAGAAACCGCTGGGGGACGACGACTTGATGAACATAAAGAGGTCCATGGAGCGCTTTGCTCCTGGTCTGACCGGCGAGCATGGCATGGACGAGAAGGGGTTTCTGCTCCTGAACAAGATCTTCGCGGAGAAGGGGCGGCACGAGACCATCTGGATCATACTGCGGAAGTTCCACTACACCGACAGTCTCAGTCTGCAGGATACGTTCCTTCATCCCAAGTTCGACGTTCCTCAATTCTCGTCAGCCGAACTCAGCCCGTCCGGCTACCGCTTCTTCGTTGATCTGTTCCTCAAGTTCGACATGGACAACGACGGAGGACTCAACGACAGAGAACTCGCGAATCTATTCGCACCGACCCCCGGCATGCCGACATCGTGGGTGGACTCGTCGTTCCCATCATGTACAGTGCGCAACGAAGCGGGATACATCACACTACAGGGTTGGCTCGCGCAATGGAGCATGACTACCTTTGAAGAGCCCAAGACGACTCTGGCATACCTGGCATACCTCGGATTTGAGAGCGGCGAGCGCGGAGGCACAACCAGCGCACTCAAGGTGACCAAAGCTAGGAAGCGGCGAAAGAAGCCTGGCCGCGTCGAGCGCAACGTCTTTCTATGCTACGTCATAGGGTCGAGCGGGAGTGGAAAGAGCTCATTGCTGTCTGCCTTCCTCCAGCGACCGTTCAGCCACACCTACCATCCCACGATAAAACCGCGTTCGGCAGTCAACAGCGTGGAATTGAAAGGTGGCAAGCAATGCTATCTGATCCTAGAGGAGCTCGGTGAACTTGAACCCGCAATTCTAGAAAATCAAGCCAAGCTCGACGCGTGCGATCTATTGTGTTATACCTACGACTCGAGCGACCCCACGAGTTTTGCGCATGTTGTCGAGTTGCGGAAGAAGTACCCCCATCTCGACCAACTCCCAGCGGTCTACACAGCCCTGAAGGCAGACCAGGATAAGACGATGCAGCGATGCGAGCAGCAGCCCGACGAGTACACCAGCGCCCTGAGAATGGCACCGCCACTGCACGTCAGCACGACGTGGAACAGCATATCGGAGCTGTTTGTTCACGTACGTACTACATCCATTAATTAATTCCACGAGCTAACATCGTATAGCTGGCTGAAAGCGCCACCCACCCCTCGACAGCCTTCCCCAAGCAGGAAGAGGACGGCTACGATTATCTCAATCTTTACCTAGCGCTCGGAGCCGTCACGTGCGCAGTGGCCTCGGCGATGTTTGTCTGGAGACGCAGCAGCGCATCGACCTGACACCCTATTTAAGGAAAAAACCGAACACCTAAGAGCCTACGTCAAGATAAAAGCTTGCGAAGTTGGTGGCCTAACGGCGACGTAGGCTCCTAGGTGTTCAGTTTTTCCCTTGTATGAGGTGCTGAGATCTGAGACCAGGGGCCAGGCATGAATGTGAATCTTTGCTTCTTGTATATACCATGGCAGCACACCACTTCCACCCCTATAGACAAACTATTCGCAATAGGAAGAATCCAAGCGTCGGAGATGATGGCAATGCAGCAGTCACGATAATGGCAGCGCGGAGGGTCAGCGCTTAAGCATGACATCACCTTGGCGTGCGGCTACGTTGTACAACAGACAAGTCTCAGCGGCACGAGCGAATAGCCAGACGCAGGGACATTTACCCCTGGCGCTTCGGCCTGACGGGGAGTAGCGCCAATATGTGGATAGATGATATCGGTGAGTTAGCATGGGATCACGATGTTGGGCTGGGAGCGAGGGAGGGTGACAGCTCGCTTGACAATGGTGTGGGCTAGCGACGTGCTTCATGGTGCACTTCCGTGACTTAGTCCGGGGATCTGCGAGTAGTCTGAGACGAGACGGCTATTCTTGTCTCTCGCACGCATCACATTCGGTGACAACGCGAACACCCGCGTGCTGCCGAAACCGTGGAAACTCCAGTAGGGGTTCCTTTTGGGTGTAGACGTTGAAACGGTCTAGTTGTTTTTGAGCAGGACCCTGGATGCGGTATCCAAGTCGCCCGGCTGGACAAGGCGGACATGGATTGGCTGTCTGGCGGCTGCTGGCAGACGTACACTCGGCTTGTGGTGATGCCCCCCTGTGTGGCGGAGCAGCTGGAGGGCGCCGAGTCGTGCATCTTGGGCGGCGCGCTCCAGGCTAGTGACATTGCAGTTAGTTGCGGTGCTGGCTGGACATGTGCATCACGGCGCGAATGTGTACCTCTACTATTTCTCCCTGAGACCATGGTGCTTGATACTCCTTCGCCGCAGCACCAACACGCCCGACCCGTCCGCCTCGCAAACCTTGGGCCCTTGGATGCCCGCACCGCCTCGGCGCCCTAAGCAAGCCGTGGCAATCGTGCTAACCCGCACCTCCGCACTCTGACAAGGTTCGCAAATGGTGAGTAGCACGTGTCTAGCCTCAGGCAAACATCTACCACATATTGTGGTGGCAGTCTGAGGTCGCCATTGTTTCGTTTCCTCTATTCCCCGGCAAAGGCCCGCGGCGCCAACCCGACGTTCCAAGGAGCCCCCAAGCTGACCAAGTCTCGTACCCCACAGGCAACCGACAGAGCCAGAGAGCTGGACCGCCTATATCAGATGCGAAACCCAGGCCCGCGCCGGGGGCATGCGCCGCAGATATCCATCAGCGATGACAGCCACCACGTCACCGAGGCCATAGGCGACATGTACGGCGGCGACAGCGACACCGACGCCCCCAACCGCCGCAGCCTGCGACCCCTAAGCTTCGTCCCCAGCCCCAACGGCGACTCGATCCAGTCCTTTGGCGCCTTCGAGGCCTTCGACCCCTTCCCCAACGCGCCCCCCGCGAGGTCCCCGCTGCGTCCCCAGATGTCCTTCGAGAAGCCCCAAACGCCCACGAGCCCCAATGGCACCGCCAACATGGCCCAGAAGCGGGCCTCGGTCGCCCGGCACCCGTCGAACGGCGGCCAGATGTCCCCTCCGCTGTCCCGCTCGAACTCGAACACGGCGTCGCACCAGTTCCCGCTGAACAACCTCGACTACGAGAACAGCCCGGCGGGCCTCGCCCAGGAGCTGAGCAACCTGCAGGCGATACGGAGGATGTCCATGGGCGTTAACAATGCCGATCCCGATCTGCCTTCGTTCCAGTCCGCAAACTCACCGCCCTCCCCACCGGCCATGTCGGAGGAGGACGAGTCGAAACTCTTCTGGGTACCCGCACGCCTGCATCCCGAACTGGCGCCCATGGAGTTCAAGACGTTCATCGAAGACAAGATCGACAGGACGAGACGACGCTCCGGAGACTCAGACTCGCTATCTCCGGATGGCGCCATGGGGCGTCAGGGCTCGGGTGGAGGGCTGCGGCGGAAGAAGTCCATGCTGTCCAGGCAGATTGATACGGGTTCTGGCTACAAGGACGGCGCCGAGAGGCTGGAGAGGAAGCGATCCGGCGCGCAGCCCAACGGGGGCTTGTCGAACCTCCAGGAGCTCGAGCACATACAGGAGGACCCGGTGGCCTTGATAAGACGGATGAGCATCGATCAAAAGGGCATGGCTGGGGAAGGGGAAGAGGGCGCTGACGGGATGCCCATTGTGCCGGGTAGCAAGATGCGTGGTCTGGGCACGCTCAAGAGATCAACACACACTACGTACAGACGAGGCAGTCTGCGGAAAGGCGGCCCGCCCCTCTCGCGGCGACTCGTCTCTGGTCGACAAGGAGACACAGACACGGAAGACTCCCCGTCCACCTCGCCCGTCCACTCTACCGAGAGCATACCCGAAGTCCCTCCTCTCCCAGGTCTCAACCGCGTTCAGTCGGAACCCGTTAACTCGGCGTTTGAAGGATCGTCCAACAACTTCTCGCGGCCTGGGGCGAAGCGGGCATCTCCCAGCTATGGCGGCGAGAGACCAGGTTCATCTGAAGAATACCCCAGGTCAGCTTCTACTGAGCCGATATCCCAACAGGAGCGAAGTTCGCCGCAGCCCAGGCAGTTCCACTCGAGAATCGCCTCCAACGGCCGCACGACTGCACCTTTGCCAGGCTACACACCTCCGCCGCAGCAGGTACCCCAGATCATCGAGACACCACCGCCACAAGAACAGAACCGCACACCTCAGTTTCAGCTACCCGAACGTCACTCCTCCCGCCAACCTCCGCCTCAAGCCCAGCAACAACCTGCAGGCCCTCGCCATTATCCTCAGCCCCAGCAGCAACCCCCACAGCAACAGCGCCAGCCCCAGTCGTCGAGTCGACCGAACCGTCATGCACAAGCTGCTCAGTCGTCTCCGATCAAGCCCGCGCAATCCTTCGATGATCTAGTAGCGCATCCTTCGGCGATGCCCGGCCAGAACAACAGGGTCGATTCGTTATCCATAATCCCGAACGCACCAGAAGAGAAGAAGCTCGAACCGAAGGCCAAAGATAAGAAAGACAAGGATGGCTCTGAGGGCGGCCAAAGGAAGACGAGCTGGGGCTGGTTTGGCGGTGATAAGGAGAAGGAAAAAGACAAGAAGTCAAAAGACAAAGACTCCGAAAAAGAAGCCCCGAAGAAGGTCAAGAACAAGCTCAGCAAGTCCCAGGAGAAGGAGAAGGACAAGGGTCATGACGACACGAGACTGGACCTCTTGCAGACATCGATACAGGGCGGCGGTCGTGGTCGAGAGAGCGTAGTGCTGGATCGCGAAAGCGTCAAGCTGGAAGAAGAGCGAAAGAAGGAGAGCGCCAGAAAAACATCCAGCGAAGGCAAGAAAGAGAAGGAGCCTGGACTACTGTCCTCCATCTTCGGAGGAGGAAAGAAGAAGGGCGAGAAAGAGTCGTCTCACAAGAAGAACGCCTCACGTGGATTATCGCCCGAGCCCCCGCCACGCATCTTAAAGCCCGACATCGACTACAACTGGACCCGATTCTCGATCCTGGAAGAACGCGCGATTTACCGCATGGCCCACATTAAGCTTGCGAACCCCCGCCGCGAGCTCTACTCCCAAGTCTTACTATCCAACTTCATGTACTCGTACCTCGCCAAGGTCCAGCAAATGCACCCGCAGATTTCCATCGGCAACTCCAAGCAAGCAAAGCAAGCTCAACAGGCTCAGCAACAGCAACAAGCTGCGCAGCAGAAGAAGGAGCAGCAACAACAGCAGCAACATCAGCAGCAGGCCGCTCAGCAATCTCAGCAGCAGGTACAGCAGCAGCAACCGCAGCAACAACAGCAACAGTCGCAGCCTGAGGAGTTTGCCCAGTATCAGCGGTACCAGCAGGTAAGACATGCCAAAGGCGTTGTTTAGAAGAGGAGACTAATGAAGAATATAGCAGCAACAACAGCACGAACAGCAATCCTCCGAAAAATCCTCACAAGAATGGCCCTCTGTACACCAACAACAAGCCAACGGCGGCCTCTCACAACAAAACGGTCAACACCAACACCAGCAACATCAACAACAGCAACAACAACATGCAAGAGGCGGATCTCAGCAGGGTAATTCTTATAACCAGAATCCGCGCGATTCGCATCACTCGAATCATAGTGCGAATGGCGGAGGTGGTGGATATAGTGTAGCGAATACGCAGAATTATCTTGGGCAGAGTGGTAAAGGGGGTGGGATTGGGGGTGGTGGGGGAGGGGGAGGAGGGGGGTATAGTAATTATAGCGATGATGAGGGGGGGAAGAGGGGGGATGACGATATGTGGTAGTGGAATGATTGTGGTGGATGAGTTAATCAAATGAAGCTGGGTGGAGGCATGGAAGATGCAAGGGGGCGGAGTAGGGATATACAGCCTCTTTTCAACTACGCCTTTCTCTTCATTTTTTTTTCCTGATCTTTTGTGGGTTCGCTTTACTTGTATGTATATTTTGGGGGTTTAATATCTAAAGCGATGGCTGGCGTTGAGGCTGGGTGGGCATAGAGAGATGGATGGATGGGCAGACGGTATGAGATGGGCTTTTACGCTTGACGGTCGGAAGATAGGAATGGAAGGGATTACAGATAATGTAATTTTTGAACGTCGTAACGGACATCTTTCCATCGGCTGGGGCAGCGCCAGGCAACTCTCTTCTCTCGTCTTACCGTACAGGACAAGTCTTGTACCGACCTGGCTCTTCCAGCGCGTTCAGGAAGGGAGGGATAAAGGAAGATGTTTGCGCAGGTACAAACGTGGAAGGAGATGGAGCGGTTGGTGAGTGTATTAATGAGGAGGTAACGTCGAAGTGGAGCTGTTTACCCATCTTAAGGTTCAAATGGTGAAGATAAAGTACGTCAAGCCCAGAAAAAGCCAGGAGAATAAAGTCGCAGCACCAGCCGTACCAGACTCGGAATCAGACACAAGCGAAATGTCAGACGCGCTCTCGAACGTAGACCCAGAGTTGAACGACGATGTTTGGGATTTCGATGATGAGGATGAAGCAGAAAAGCAGGGGAATGAGGACGTAGTTGGAGGGGGAGACAATGTTGAAGAGGTACCGGAGCAAGTCGTCGACGAAATGGACATTGACCGAGACGGCGACGAGGATGAAAAAGAAGAGACCGAAGAAGAACTACTCGACCAGATCAAGACGAACTGGGGTAGTACCAGTCTACGAAGTATCATGGAGCTGGGGCTCGTCAACGACAAGAAGAAACAGCTCAAGGACACGTGGCTCTCCGGTGAAACCGACCTCGCAGACGAAGAGTGGGATATGATTACTCTACGCCTTTTCCGAGACCTATCGCGACTAACACGGAATAACTTCGACAAAGCCAGGTCAATACTGGGCGAGTGGCTCCGTTACCGGAAGCATGATAAGGACGGAAAAAGAACGGGATCAAAGAGGGTCATAAAAGAACTCAAATTGCGCAACGATCTGAGGGGAATCATCTATGAGTTGCAGACGACGAAAGAGAAAGCACGAAAAACGAAGGATAAAGAGCAGGGTATACCCAAGAGGAAGAAGGCAAAGACTGATGATGACTCCTCCGACGTGGAGATCAATGACGGCTTGTATCTTCCGGAAGTAGAGCCACCTCTCGAGAAGAAGGGGAAGAAGGCATCCGAGAAAAAGGACAGCAGCAAGACACCAGGCGGTAAAAGTGTGAAACCTTCGCGACCACGACGAGACAGCGAAGATGACTCTGACTCAAGCCCCAGTGAGGTACCTCCGAAAAACCCCCGCAAGGAGAAGAACGCAGAAGCCGGTGTGAAAGTGAAGAAGAAGCCAGCTCAACCGAAGAAGAATGCACAGGCAAAAGCAAAGGCTGCTGAGGCAGAAGACGCTGAGAGCGGAAGTCCTGCGATCGAGCCTCCTGCGGTCGTCACAATACAAAACGAAGAGGAGAGAGACGCCGCACTCGAATACATCTACACCACCTGGCGAACCACCTCGCTTTTGCATGTCCTGCCAGATGCTCTGCGCCCAGTAGAAGCGACCAAAGATCAAGACCTGGCTTATGAGATCATCGCGGCTCTGCGCAATCTCTCCAATGTTATACGTACGCCAGATGAACTTGCTGCCTTCAGACGAGACCTGGAAGAGCAGGTGACGGGAGATACACCTGTCACTAGCGAAGATATCGTGGCCCACATTGCGAGAGTTGGCGAGCCTTACTACCATGCTGCTCGAGCAGCTCGCGAGAATGCACGACACCCGGTAGTTCGGAGCGCTGCTGGCGAGCCACAGACAGAGGGACCAACTACACGCAGGTCGCCGCGTAACCACGATGCTTCCGCAATCCCTCCAGCGGGTGATCAGCAAGCTGCTGCTGCTCCAGCCTTAGATTTATTAGCAGCAGCGGCGGCTGGCAGACTTAGAGAAATTGTGACAACACCGCAGCCTCCACGACTGGGAGACGCCTCTGTTACCACCAGAGCACCCCAGGTTGCACCAGGAGCATCAGCGGCTACCCAAGACCAAAATGTGGCTAGATCCAATGACGGGAACGAAGGTACAGCTCAACAGTTTGAGCAGCGCACCACGCAAGAGGAAGCGGGTTCCAGGGACGCGACTGGTAAGTCATCAACCGCGAACAACACGCAAGGCCACGTTCAACCACCGCAACCTTCACCACGGCCTGTTGACCAACAGCCTTCGCGCTCCACTGCAACTATACGAGACAACGACATAACATTCAGATTAGTCTCAGCTCTAAGCAGAGTGCGCAACTCCGAGGCGGACGTTAGAGTAGCGCAGATCCAGCGTGATATTGCTGCTCTCCAAGGACAATCCGCATATGCTCAAGCAAATGCCTCTCTTGAAGTCGCGTTAAAGGAACGACAACGTGCAGAAGCGGAGATGGAGGCGAATAGCTTCCAGGGAAATAGAGAGGGGATGCAGGGGCGAGAGGAGGTTGCGAGGCAGCGTGAGCAGGAGCTCGTGCAGATACGTCGGGGAGATGACGGAGATGCGGTGGAAGAGGAGGAAGAGGAGGATTCAAGGCGAGCAACGAAGAGGCGAAGGAGTGCTTAGGGTGGAGAGAGTGAGGGCAAAGGATAAAATAGTGGCGAAGGTAACGGGGACGGAGGAAAGTAGGGTAGAGTAGCAGAAGGGTCTGTTTTCAGTGACTACCAAGATACGTACTCTCATGTCGCAATCTTCCTATCTCAGCAGTATAACTTCAACGAGTCGTAAGACTATCGATAAATGCGATCGAAGTTTGTAGAGAGCCAACCAGATTCGTAACTATGTTCAAAAGGTACAATGGGCTATCCTTGCCTGTTCAATGTGGTCGACCAGCAACACTCCTAGTAAGGTGACGCATCTTCGAAGTGCGATTGTTTGGATTATAGATTGCTCTACGAGAAACCAGTACCAACTAGATGCCGTTCAGGTTTAAGAGATGAAAGAACGAGTTTGTTTGGATGCAAACGATGGAATGAGATGGAGCTGCGAGGGCTTATATATAGCCAAAGAGAGTCGTGAACTAAGATTATAGTTCACTCCGTCCACAAGATAACTGCAATTGTCCACCTATCTTAATATCCAGCCTTTACGATACAGTAGAAAGAATACCAAGGATACCAATTCCAGAATGTCGCCGAAAGAGAAAACCGAGTTTGGTCTCTCGCTACGAGAAGAGAATAGACGAAAAAGACAGAGGCAACAGAACGATAGTAACGACAATGACAACGAGGTACCCGTCGCACCCACCACACCAGCGGCATCAGCGGCACCAGCAACATCAGCAACATCAGCGGCACCAGCAGCACTGCATGTGGCTCCAAATCAGGAGGAGGAGGTACCTGTCGAACCTGCAGCAGAAATAGGTGAAGGGGAGGAAGTGTCAGACCATCCAGCAAGACCCCATGACGATGTACACGACAATGAGGCTGGACCGCCGGTTGCGAACGAGCTGCCTCCTCCTTCAAGGAGTGATGCGGATGCACCAGCGGCTGCGAGTGGTCCTCGTCTTCGTCTTCGTCTTCCTGCAGGTGGTGCAGCCCCTCCAACGCCTGCAGCCATTCCGCCTACCATTCTGACCGACCATCAGCGAGAGATGGCCGCCGTTACTACGAACTGGGGTCCGGATTACCGAACCCTGCGAGACTGTATAAAGGCAAATACTTGGTTCAAAGGCTCAATAGTGAATCTAACTGAAGAAACCTGCGAAATAGAAACCCTTCGCAAGCTACGAGAACTTTCGGATAAGACTCCCAATGACGGCGCGAAGATGAAGGAGCAGATGGACTTCCACTGGAGACAAAGAGATAAGCAAGGAAGAGTGGGCGGCACCAAGTTAGAGAAACAGGAAAACCTACGCGAGGATCTGCAGTTGCTGATCGATGGGAAGAGGATGAAGGAAGGAGATATACAGACGTACAAGGGAAGGCCCAAAGACGATGGAGACGCGTCAGCGCGCAAGAGGAACGACAATGGGAGAACACCGGATGCCTCTACGAAACGCGTTCGCAAGACACCACAAGACGACGACGACGAATCTAGCTCGGAAGATAGTACCATACCCCGCAACGGCCTTGCGACAGCGCCAAAAGGCAAGGGAAAGGGAAAGGAAAGGGCGACTGAAGTAACAAGCGACGACACTGAAGTTATACCCCTCACACGCAGGCAAAGAGACGAGGCACTCGGCCGAATCTATGACAACTGGGAACTGACTTCGGACCAGCCACTTACCCAGTTCTTACCAGGGCTGCTGCTTCCACCAGACATGACGGATGATTCTCTCATTGACGGCAGGATTCTCGCGCGCATCCGTGATCTGTCTAACGTCACTAGAGGGCAAGCTCTCTTTGTTCGAGAGGCGTTGGCGAGCGCGATGAACGACTTCGTGGGAGAAAATGTAGAGCAAGTGCTCGACCTTCTCGCACAGGTTCGTGCTCAGCTTCAAGAGGCGATGCGAGTGCTGGACCGAGCATCAGAGGAGGCAAGAGCTAGAGAACAGGCGGAAGGACCGAGTCGTGGTGCTCTGATTCCGGGACTAGGCGTCGCTGGTCCTTCTGCTCCCTCGTCAAGCGCAGTCACCATGCCACGCCCACCCCAACCCCTGCAAGCTTCAACACAGCCTGCAGCGCAACCAGGACTATCGCGTTTCGAAGGTGGTGTCCTGACTATAGGAACGAACTGGACGCTACGCCGTGCTCTCAACGACAGTAGACAAGCTGATCAAGGCATCCAGACGGCTCGCCGTAGATACGAGCAGGCTGTACTTAATGGACAGTCTGCTATTGATCAAGCCGCTCTGCTGTTGGGAATGGAAGTAGCTAGGGGAGTGAGTAATGAAGCGTATGCGAGGACGGATGAGTTACAGGGTCGCTGGGTAGATGCGCGATCGAGGCGAAGTACGATGGGTGACGGTCTTGGGGGTCTGACTAGTGACTCTAGAATGGGACACGGCGCGCAGGCTAAGGGTACTAAAGAAGGCGAGAATGAAGAACAAGAGCAGGAGGAGAACGGTGGAGAAGATGGTGGAGAGAACGGTGAAGGGAGTAGTGGAGGGAATGGCGGAGAAGGTAGAGTGACACGCCAGAGTAAGAGGAACGAGAAGGAGAAGAAGTAGCGGACTGATGGGTCGTCGGCGCCTAACGAACGTTGATAGACTAACAAGATATCATGTCACTCTCTTTCTATTGCACTAGCAAAACTATGATGGGTCGTTATTTCATCAAAAGATGTAATCGAAGTGAACTAAGACGTTCCAGTCTTTGGGGGTTCGAGAGTAACATTTGCCACACTTGCGTCTTCCCATGTCGTCTCAATGGTGATAGCAACACAGCGCCACACTCCGTCGCACCATTGTTTAGATGTTCGCTTGCTCTGCTGAACACTGGTACTGTTTTAGAAACTTTTGGCACGGTGTCTTGTGCAAGGTTCAAAGAGCGTGCTTGCTCAGAAACAAACATTAGAATGCGATAGACATGCACGGGGTTATCTTAAAGTAAGGAGGGCCGTAAGCTGAAAGTACAGTTCAAGCAACTCTTAAGATCTCCTCAACGCAATGGCACCAAAGCGCGCGCCCCGTCCAAAAGGAGACCAGGATCCCAACGACACCACCGTTGACGCACAGGAACGCATCCAAGCGATCGCCGCCATCACGACGAACTGGGGTCAAACCTTTTCCTCCATGCAAAACTGGATGCACGACAACACTTGGCTGAAGGGTGAGACAGAAAAATTGTCGGAACAGACCTGCGAGATGGACACTATACGCGCATTCCGGACTCTGTCACAGAGCACTCAGAACTGGGGCCAACAAGTCAAAGACCAAATCCAACAGTATTACCTGCTAAGATGGAACAACCCGACGAAGAAGACGCCCATAGGGACTACAAAGGAAGAGAAAGAGAAGAATCTGCGCGAGGACTTGGCCAAACTACGTGCGGGGAGGTTCATACCGGAAGCGAATTGGAAAGAGAACAACACGAAGAGACCGCGAGTGGGAGAGATTGGTGGGAAGAAGGCGAAGCCAAGGAAGAAGTCGAAGAAAGACGGTAGTAGGGAAGAGCGAGACGAAGACGAAGAAGAGGACGAGCCTCACCCACCACCCAATCCTAAGCCCGCGACCAAACCAGTCAATATTGGAGCGGTAAATGAGATCAGACGAAGACTAAGATCGCATGGACATAATGGTGCAGAGGGAGGGGCAACGCAGACGGGAAAGCAAAAGAACAACGCAAACCAAGCAGAGGACGACGACGCAGCAAGCATTGCAAGCGAGCCACCCCAAGCCAAAACGATACGCACTCCTGAACAACGAAACTTGGCTCTCTCCGACATATACCGAAACTGGAAGATCGATTCACTGAACCGAGACTTCCCAGCTATGCTACGCGGAGCTGATCTCAATGCCGCAAACGACAATGGCATTGAAGATGTGATCGTTGAGCTACTTCGCGACTTGTCCAACGTTTCTGCTACAAAAGAGCAAGCCAACGCGATCAAAGAAGAACTGCAGCTGCGCTTCAACAAGATGAAGGGATATGATTTGAGGGAGGTTCATTTTGCCATCACAACTACTGCTCATAACTGCTACTACGCTTCGGAGTCAGGGACGGACTGGCCTGAACTATCAGGCGATGAGGGTGATACGAATGAGCAAGGCCCTCCGCTAGATGTAGCACCACCAGCACCACCAGCACCACTAGCGACACGACCAGACAGACACCAACGTTATGCCGCACGAAGCGATGAAGCATCGCTCGAACTGCAAGCAGCCTGGGATGCAGTGGTAGTCGCTGAAGCGGCGGTGAGAGTCGCGCAAGACAAGCGTACTCGCGCTGCTTTCCAGGGCGAGACTGCATACCAGCAAGCGACTCGCCAGTTGAGAGTTTCTGAAGAACAGCTTCGTGTTGCTGAGGCATATGCATGTGCGAGGAGTCTTGGAATATCGCAGAGACTGGGTGAGACGGCTGGACCGAGTAAGGATGGGCGCGGGCAGAGGCCGAGTGGTGATGTCGGAGGTATAGTGGAAGAGCAAGGACAGCACCGGCAAGGGGGATCTGGGGAGGGTGGAGATGACGAAGGTGATGAGGAAGGAAGAGTGGCCTAGAGTAGGAGAAGGCTCTCGCCCAATCGCCTCGCGGGTATCGTGCGTAGCGCTCCTTCTTATCTCAAGATCTTTAGACTAGAATGTCAAGACGTTGTCACAGTTACGTTCCGCATGTCATATTGGCAAGTCAGAATGAAGAGACGAGATGCTTTCGCTACGTATACTTCGTCATGCATAAGTGTCCGCGCGACAGCTAGTCTTCAATCAACGCCGCCAGAAATGAATCATGACGACAATACTCATGCTATGCAACTGCTTCGCTTGACCATCAGTCCGCACGTACATAGACCAGAGAAACCTTCCTGTAAACAGTGTTCCTTGTCCACCAACATCGCAAGCTTCACGTATCGTATCCCATCCAGAACAAGGCCATAGCCACGGATGTACAACCACCAGACTAGTGACGCGGAACGCCTGCCATATCGACGTCCTCCATCCCTGCCGAAACCGGTGTGGGTATGCCGCCGGAAGCACTGGAGCGACGAGTGTGCGAGCCACCGTTGGTTGCGGCAGAAGACTTGGCGGTACCGTACTTCTTTTTCTGGAGGTCGCGCAGAATCTCTTGGCCTTTGAGCAAAGAGTCACGCTGACCACTGAGCTCCTTGCGTAGATTGAAACGGTGTGGGGATTCGGAGAGGAGGCGAACGGCGTTGTCGTAGGCTGCGTTGTGGAAGTCAGTATAATGCTCACGTAGTGAGAGAGGACGAGGCTTACCTTGGCTACCGTCGTTCATGCCCAGTCCACCCTCAAGCTCGTCGCGAAGTTGGGTGCGAAGCTGCTTGAAGAACTTGGATTCAATCCTCATACACACAGCGTCGTGGAAGCGGCGGGCTGCTAGCATGTAGTACGTGGTAACCTGTGCGACAACTCCGAGCTCGACAACATAGGGTTCATGGTTCAGCACCGCCATGACCCTGGCATCCTTCCTCATCCTGTCTTCTTCTTGCGGAGTAGTCTCTTTTCCTGTACGCTTCAATCTGTCGCGCTTGTAGATGTTGAAACGAGCCTTGAACCGAGCTTGACGATAATGTTCTAGTACCGCTTCCTTCTCAAGCTCGAAAAGCTCGTCATGGAAGATGAAAGGACCTTCTTTCTCATCATTGAGGCTCTCGTTGGCCATGGTGTTGCGCTGCTCTGTGAAGTTCAAGCTGACCATCTGCTCAACAACCTCCCAGGCAGTGCGATAAAAGGTCGATCCCTGGTACTTGGAGAAGTGCTTGTGAAACACAGTCTTGATCTGATCAACAATTTGACCTTCGAGCGTGTTGAAGAACTCTTCAAGCGGTCGCGACCAATGCTCAAGCGTCTCGAGCATCATGTTATCGACGACGCGTGGTTCAATCTGTCCGGGCACTTTGCTCTGAGAGTTCTCCGCCAAGTGCTGCGTGACTTCATCAAGCAAGAACTTCTTCCTGAGCTCACTAAAGTCCGTGCTGAATTTAACCGACCTACCCTCAGTCGTCTTTAGTGGTCCGCGACGGCTAGGAGTCTTCACTGGTGAAGGACCTGGAGTATCACCGAGCTTTCTCTTCTTCGTAGGCGTCTCGGGGTTGCTAGACATTGGTGTATCACGATCTCCGTCGTCCACGTAGTCCTCATCGTCATCATCGTCGTCGTCTACAGCGATAGCTTTGCTAGCGGAGCTGCCAGGCTGAACTCCCAGGACGTCCATGTAGACTGTCGCGTCTTTACTTCCGCTTGTCGACATGGTAGGCTTCATGCTAGCCAGTGCGTCGAAAAACGCCTTCTGCAGTAATTTCCAGTTGTTGCGCCACGCCTTGCAAGGAAATTCGGCCTCCAACTCCTTGCGCACGTTGTGTGAGAAGTCGAGTACAACATCCGAGATGATTCTAGGGGCGTTGTGTGTAGGAGGATCCGGAAATTCTCGAAGCTCGGCTAGGACCTGTTCCAGCCTGGCATTAATCTCCTGGTCAATGATAGGAAGCTTCCTCGTCATCTGTTCAGCAAGCTTCCCAGAAAGAAAGCTTTGCAGGTTCAGTGTGCCGAATCGATGTTGATAGTGGCTGAACGCAGTTGACCAGGGCGTTCCTTGACTGAAAAACTGGTGCTCTTCAAACCGAGCTTGCGTATGGGTCAAACCGCGCTTCATCTCTGCCTGGTTCAGGTTCTTGACGACGAAGTATCCATGTCCCAATGCAAAGCGCTTCTCGTCAAAGACCTCCAGGAGTTTGTCGTGGCGGGATCCGTCGGGAATAAGGTCTGGCTTCGTGAGGACACCTGAACTTGTTAGTACAACTTCCATCATGGGAGGTGACTACGCTTACCAATGCATCGGTCTGTAGCGCCCAGCTTCCGCGCAATGCCTCCTGCCGTTGAGTTGGCGATGTCTGTGTCTAACGAGCAGGTCACAAGGATGAGAGATTCCTCGTCGCTGACGTAGTCCATCACAATGTTTCGAACAGACTCAACCAAGTATTCCTTGTCCACGGTTTCAGCTTGATTAATGATGCCTGGCAAGTCGTAGAAGCTGAGAGAAGGAACGTCTGGGTGAGAGATTTCGATGCAGACGATGTTGGGGCTGAAGTCGCAGTGTGGTTTCTTTCGAAGCGCAGTAACGGTTGATCCGAGGAACTCCGTGTAGGGCGTCATAGGATTGATGATAGCCAGTTGTGCGCGTGCGATGATCTCCTCGAGTTCATGCGGGTTTTTTGTATCCGCAAAATGCACGACGTTTGGCCGATCCATCTCGAGCCAGCCAGGGTACCGGTACTCGGATCCTCGGACCTTGTTGATATCGTAGTTGAAAGTCCGACGCAGACTAACGCTTGCACTCCAGCTGGCGCGAGTATTATCGGAAGGCTCGAGCTTGATGAAGAGTGGACATCTGGTACATGTATCATCCATTCTCGGCGTCTTGATGCCGGAGATAGCTTCGATAACAGAAGATTTACCAGTAGACTGCTCGCCTGGCGCCGATATTAGTACAGAGCAACTAGATACTTTTACGCAAGACGTACCCAGGACGATACATTTCGGCAGAGGTATCTTCAGCCTCTGTAGGCCAAGGCCCTCCAGTCGATTGATCGTCGCAATCACTTCCTTGACTTGTTGTCCAAGCGGATCAATCTCTGCTGCTGCGGAAGCGTCGTATGTATGCTGTGGATCTGGATGGTAGTAAGTGATGAGTACTCAGCTCCGGGTTGTAGTCTGTAACTCACCATCTTGCCCGACCAGGTGAAGCGGCTCAAGGCCCTCACTCAGTCGCGATACGTCATCGCGCGCGGGGTGGAGTACTGGTTGTTGTGCAGGCGTGTACGTACTGCTTTGAGGGTCGAGTGGTGCATCTGCAATTGTGCCATCATCGCTGGGGGTGACGGGACGCTTGATGTTCTCTTTTAGTGCGCCGCGGCGAGTAGCGCCCACCATCTTGAGAGGTTGTACAGAAAGTCAAATGGTGTAGTGGTACAGGTAAGTCGGTGAGAGAGCGTGGTAGCAAAGTTGACAACAACGAGAGCGCGAGCGCCAAGACTTGACTCTAGGCAGTAATCCGAGGTGACACAGACTCCAAAGCAGGGTCCAGGAGCAGTACGCAAACGGAAACCATTGGACGAGCGTAGAAGCTCCAGGACGAGAGAGCAGAATTGTCGAGGTGAGCGCGAGTCTGGTACCGGTTCTAGAGCGGTAAACGGTGAATGCATGATACTCATGAGCTCAGCTTGCAGCGAGGAGAAGACATAAGTTGGATGGTCGACAGATGCTTGTACGTTACCTGCATGTAGGTCTGAGGACTCCGTCGAGAAATCATCTCTTTTGTACGTGGTCTGAGAGTGATTTCCAGGTCACACTCTCACCTCGGAAGCGATGCACACGTCCCCAGAAACACAGTCCAGAGAATTGATGCTAAAGATGTAGAAAAGATAACAGTGAGAGTTTATGGACAAGCTAGGGGCTCATCGCGGGAGAAAGAGGCGGACAGAGGAGAAACGTCACACAAATGTCGCATAGCTGCTACTATCACAGAATAGACGTACTACGCCGACTAAGAAAAGAACTAAACAGGCCTGCAGCCTACATTAAGTTAAAACCCTACAAGATAGGTAACTTCGCGTTAATGTAGGTTCTAGACCTGTTTAGCCTTTTTCTTGTATAAGGTGGTAGTAGACTTCGCGACGAATTGGTCTGGATGTTGCAGTATAGATTCATTGGACGTGCACAGTCGCAGGCGATAGGTGCTGCGCGGAGGAGCGATTTGTAGCTCTATCGTTCGACAGAGCTGCTATAGCTAACAAATGACAGAGAAGGTAGCATATGAATCCAAACAAGCGAGAAGATGACGCCGCATAGATGGTTCTGATGGTGAGTGACGAGACACGGAAGGAGGTTTGACGGCAAAAGTGGTCGCGCCAGTCCCGAAGATTCGCCGCTAGCGCCAAAGCAGCAAGGGTCCTCAAGAAATTCCATCGAAGCACATCGTCACCGGTGGCTACCGTCCGACCACGAGCTCGCCCACGCCCTCGCCTCACCCCGGAATCGCCCAAAACACATCCCATCCTCTAATAATACGTAATGGATCATTCGCGCGATCCCTGTCCCTGGGTCATTCTCAATGACTTTGGCGGTGCCTTTGCCATGGGTGTATGTCCCCGCCAGCGCAGCATCTCTGGCCCATATACTAATACCGCATTAGGCTGTCGGAGGAGCAGTATGGCATGGTGTGAAGGGTGTAAGTGTCTTTTAATACATACTTTGAATTGCGCTTATACACCCACAGTTCCGTAACTCACCCTACGGCGAGCGACGCATCGGCGCCATCACAGCGATCAAAGCCCGCGCGCCTGTTCTCGGCGGCAACTTCGGAGTCTGGGGAGGACTTTTCAACACATACGACTGCGCAGTCAAGGGAATACGGAAGAAGGAGGACCCGTGGAACGCCATCATCGCAGGATTCTTCACAGGTGGATCGCTCGCAGTACGAGGAGGATACAGATCGATGCGAAACGGCGCGATATCGTGTGCTATTCTGCTGGCTGTCATCGAGGGTGTCTCAATTGGCTTCAACCGCATGATGGCCGACAACACAAGGCTCGATGCGCCCCCACCACCACCAGCCGACGTGGGTGCACCATCTGGCGGCGGCGGCATGGCTGTGGCCGCGTAAAACGTTTTCGATTCACGATTTATACCTCTTCAGAGCGAACCGTTTAGGCCACGGGCGGGCAGCGACATGTCTGGGCAAGCGGTGTTTTTGGGATGTTTGGCATATACCGCAGGCAGGTTTCGGCAGCGGGCGGCGTTCACACTCTCCTCAGCTTTGTGTTATACCTGTATCATATACGCGACACGACTTGTACAACATCTGGAGGCGTCTCTAGACGAAAGCTTGAGTGTGCGGAATTCAGAAGATACGACACATCTCAATGTTCATCAGCTATTGCGCAGCCAATCTATTGAATCCGAGCTTACCGCAATAGTTTAAAGTCAAAACCCGCCTAAAATAGCTTGATGACATCATCAGACCCACTCCTCAGTAAACAATCCTCTGAGCTTCCCTGGCATCCTGCGACGTTTGGGATACTGCAACTGCATCCAAGGCTAGAACGCACGCGTGGGGAGGCCACCCAACGAAGTCTGCTATAGCTGCAGGTTGCTGCTAGCTTCTTCGAGTCGGCGTGGCTGACGGCAATGAGCTTTGACCGCCTTTTTTACCCTGGAAATACTGCACTTGCCGCTTCATTCGATGTCTTCACCCCAAACCACGATGCTGCCTCCACACGCGCCAGAATTACGAAGCCCATCTCCTCCATCTCATAGCTCATATGTTTTGCACTCGACTATTCAATAACACCAATACGATATACGACATTTCTTCCCAGACGCGAACATGGCACCTTCTAAAGATTTTGATCTGTCGAAAGCCATCCAATCAGAGCTCACCTGCATCTTTCCAAAGTCCTTGAAACAACATGTCACCACCATCATGACCAACTGGCATCTCGAATTTGCCAAAGACTGTATTCCACGTCCACTATGGCCCCAGGACCTTTTCCCTCAATGGGGCCCCGACATCATTATGCTTTTAAGCGAGATCTCATCACTACCCGGCGCTACTCTCCCAGACTTCACGAGAAGACTGAAGGAAGTTGTAAAGATGCGTCAACAGAAGAACAAGTCTGCGGCTGGCAGGTCGAGTCGGGCCAAAGCTGTAGATCTGAAAGCCGTCTTGAAACAATATGAAAGAGACGCCGAGGAGATGGGAGCTGGGCTAGCGAGTCCCGAATCAGACGCGAAGGAAAGGAAAGGTGGCCGCACAACCCGGAATACCCGTATACAGGTGCCGAAAACACCAGTGAACCACGACGACGAGGATGAAGAGGAGGAAGAAGAAGGTTCCTCTGAACCGCTCGCCGGCGGGAAATACCAGTATCTCTCTGGCGTACGACCCGTCAAAGTCAATCTAAACCCCGATGCGTCAGCTGTGAAGAAGCCAACGCGACCCAAGCCTCCACCAAGAGGCAAGAGACGGAAAGCGAACGAAGACGCAATGCCAGATCCTCTGGCAGTCGAACTACCGACTTTAGTGCATCAAGATCCCGACCCCCGGGTACCGGATGACACTGGCTTCCTCTCAGATCTCGAAGGTAATGAGGCGAGGGAGAAGAGCAGGAAGAGGAAGAAGCGGCTTTCGAGGCTGGAGCAGCAAAGAATCAGGGAACCGCACTGGCAGTTGGATAACGATAACATCACTCTTGATGTTCCGACTCCGACGCAGGCCCCCGGTATTTCTGCTGCAGAAGGCGAAGAAGAGGGTGCGACCATACCCGACGCGCACGATGATGAAGACCCGGCTTTGGATAACGCAGAAAACCCGACACCAGATAGTGAAACGCACGAACCGATAGATGCCACAGAAGAAGCCGAGATCGAGGCCATGAACCTACTCGCCTCTCTGCCTGAACTCCCGACGAATGCAACGGCAACGGAGAAGCGTGAATTAGAAGAACTGAAGTTGAGCATGGAGCAGCGCATATGGCGAATCAAGGTGTTGAGGATAGAAGAGCGGGTCCAGAATGAGGCGCTGGCCAAGCGCGAAACGGAAGGCGAGGAAGCGCAAAGTGGGGACGCTGGTAGAGGCTGCAGGGTCTCGAGAAAAGAAGAGAGGGTGCGGAACAAGGGGAGAGCTAGACGAGAAGCAAAGAGTGGGGATAGTGGTGCTGTAGAGAGTGATACGAGTAGAGGGGGAAGGGTGTTGAGGACGCGTAGGGGGAAGTAGGGTATATATGCGAGGGACATACGGCACGGATGAATACTCTGGGATAGTATTCTATTGTCATATTATATGGGGAGGCCGCTGTCCAGCGCCTTGGAACGTATGCGCTTGCTAACGTACCTGCGACCGACGCGAGTGCGCAATTCGAGTTTACCGTCGCTACCATGGGCCCTGACGCATACATTGGTTGCTATCCACTTCATCCACTGGTACTGTAATGACGTCTAACGACGGTAAGCCACTCACAGGCTCCGCAGTCCCAACGTTACCAGACTAAAGAGAATACAGCCATAATCTTTTTCCGCTTCTACCCTTTAAATTTCTTCCATGCCCACGAAGGCTTCTTTTACTTCCACCTTTCCACTTGCAACACAGCTCCACAACAACAGTGCGCTGAACAGTATGGCACAGCTCACGAGACCTAACCCGGTTCCATTCTATGAGGACAATCCTTCTGATAGCTACGATGACCCTCAAGAGGAAGAGTACCACAACTATCTTAGGGAGTATGTAACACAATTTCCTTGTCATCAAGACACATGCTAACACAACTCAGTGCAAGCGCATGGCTAGAAGACTACCGAGGGCGTGCAGAATTCCTGGATTATTCACCGAAGCTAACAGGCAAATTTAAATTCGCCACGCCAACAGAGTGCGAAACCTTCGATGCAGCTGACGGCAGCCTCTCCAACATCCTCGCCCGAATCCCAGCCGAAGTCGACGAACGGATCATGATTCAAGAAGGCCCATCTTGCCGTGCGTTCTTCCAGAAAATACGGGATCGTTTACCAAAGGAGCTTCGTGAGATGGTTTTCGAACACATCTTTCAGGGCACATATGTCTTGTTGAAAGCGAATGACGCCGAAGCCGGGAACGATGATGATACTCCGGTCTGTGAGAGGCAAGACATTGGAAGGCACTATCCTTACAGCTATCTACTCAAGCCAGGATATATACACGACCATGAAGTAAGGACTGAGCTCATCGAAGCATGGTTTAGGACGTCAAACTTCATCATCACGGATGCCGCACTCATTCGCCCCTCTCTAGGAAAGTACCTATGGAGCGCTGGCATTGATCCAGTGCAATTCATCAGACGAGTTGAACTCAAGACAAAACCCCTTGAAGCCCCCTTGATGCGCGAGGCCGTATGCAAAGATCTGGAATCTCTTGAATGTCTCAACCCGGGCACAACCATCACGATTATCGTGGATTGGCCCCCTAGATTGCCTTTTCTGCGGGAGATCGAGAATCGCGCAGCGTCTCTATTCCCAGTGTCGCTGCGTATGAGAAGTATGGGATACAAGATGATAATTCAACCGTGGTGTTGCCGTAAGATCGTGGTGGAACGAGGGAACCGCAGGGTGGAGGAATGGTTGAGGGAGAATGAATGATTTCTGCGGTCTATATGAGTCTAAAAAGAGTAGTCCAGGATTATGTACAGGCGATGTGGACTCATGGGTCTGATACTAGCTTGTCACATCTGTCTGGCTGGTTCTTTGGATATGGTGGAGCTCTTATCCGTCCGTACCATTCCAGAAAACATCGCATGCTCAGTTCCAACCTACGTACCGCGCAGTTATCATCATTTCTTTACTTCCTTATCGGCTCTCAAATCATGACACTATATTCATGGACCTCGACAACGCTGTTCCGGAAGCGACAGCAGTACCTAGGTAGAGAAAGCGGGTAGACGGGGGCGTACATCCGCAAGACCCGGGCGCATCAAACCCATGGTATCCTTCACCCGTGATTGCTCTACCGCAGCTTTTATATGGCACTTCCTGCTTTCTACTACCACTGAAATGGACGATAAGGAGTGGATGAATGAGTAAGAAAACGGCAATAGAAGACACCTAATACGGTCCCCGAGCGATCTCGGAGGCTGGATTTCGATATTTAAACTCTCATTTTCCGCACTTTCTACGGCTGCACTGATGCATCAACTTGAGTCCTGCTAACAAGTTCTAGGGCCGAAAAACGCAAGAAATTACTACAGATCACTGTATTACCGCGGGTGGTATGACATACCAGTGAGTTGATGTAACGTTCTTCTAGGTCTTAAAGGCTAATGTGCAGAAAGACCATCAAATTCCTCAAGCTCCCTGAACGCGGAGATGTCTGATGCCCTTAGAAATGAAGCAACTGAGCGTCTACACATTGATTACGAAAAGCTCGTAAAGGATGTAGACGGGCTTCTGAAAGAGGTGGAAGCTATACAATCTAAAAACGATACCGAGTACGTAGCAACATTGCGCTATAAGCAAAACCATTGTTAACCTTGCGCAGCTTGTCGTCACAAGTGGCAGCCCTTCAAAAGCAATACGCTGCTTTTAAAAGCGCGATCAAAACCCTCACTCGCTGTACGATGCCCTGGCGATCGATATTTAGCACTATTAACAGAGTCTAGGTCCAACAATGGAAGACCTTCATACACCCGAATCTACAGCCGCGGACATTCCGGTACGGCGGTAAGTTGCTATCATGTCTATCTAGGTTTTGATGGCTAAGAAGCGAAAAGCTACTATTTCGGTCGTCCACTGAATAGGGATGCTGATTACTCAGACGATGAAGCAGATGAACGTTTCGCGATTACACGTTGTCTTATGGACGATTCAGATATATACGATGGGCTTCTACAGGAAGCTAAAGAGAACCAGGAGGAGGAACGTGCTGAAGCTGTTGCGCCTCCGTGTTGCTCATACCTCACTGAGTACGCAGAACGCTATCGACATGTACAAGACGATTGCTGACGTTACATAGCGCGACGACACGACTAGGAGCCTCTCTGATCACTACTCATTCAGCCACCTACCACAGTCCAACGGGACGTGCAACAAGAGATGAGATCAAGGCTTTCCATGCAGCTAAATGCAACCGGATAAAATACGTCCATCGTCGTTCAATCCTCCAGCACATGCATGCTCGCCTACCATGGGAACTTCGCCAAATGATATATGGCTACGTCTTCGAAAGTTCATGCGTCCAGCTTGATGCGGATTATTTGGAGAACACATGTCCCACTACTCATTCCGAAAATTCTTGGGAGCAACTGATAGACTTCAAATTCTTCGCTGCCGATACTGAGATAAAGCAAGAGCTAGCTGGAGCGTGGTACGAGATGACGACCTTCTGGACCGAAGATCCCAGCACGATCAATTCTTGCCTCTCTCGGTTCAGATGGAGTGCTGTTCTACAGGCTAAGCCATTCGGCCTGATCCGACACGTCGAAATCTGGGTACCTGTTGATGTCGTCGATCAAGGAAATGTCGAAGAGACCCTCGATTTAGCAAAATCTGGTCCTCTATTCCAGCTTCATGAGGCCACGACCATCAGATTCGCTCTAGGAGGTCCCGATTCCATGAGTACCGCGTATCCAGGCGTGCCTTGGTGCGAGGTAGAGAATTATGCGGAGAACATAAAGTATCTGTTCCCACTCTTCGCCAATCTGAGAGCTGCGGGATACAAGGTCATAGTGGGACCAGACTGGAGCCGTAGCACCGTGTTTGAGCCGGATACCACCAAGGAAGACATGCTCGAGATGATTTATAACGCTCTTGAGGAGCAGAACTCTCTTTGGGGTGGGATGTCATGGATGCAGTATCGTACGCACGGCTCCCTCTAAGGATTAGAATGATATGGCTACATTGTTGTAGACACGGCTCTTGAATAGTCGTGGACGTTGTATAGCTCACGTCATACAACTAATGATGTCAGGCATTCGTTGCGAAGAGCACTTTCTCAAAGATGTAGTGTAGATAGCTGAGTAGGGAAGTCTAGGCCAATCCAGAATAGAACGACAAACATGAAGAAATGCTTGGTAACGTCTCGCTTACTATCTTGCAATGATCAGCACACAGTCAACGTAGACCCTACCAAAAGCCCAACATGTGACACCGCGAGCCACTAGCCCCCCTCGCGTTAGCTCCACAACCCCAACGCGTAACGACAGCAACCCCAGCATCCGCAGTCTCGATATCAACAAAATCCCCAGCCCTCATACTCGCTCGCCCTCTCATCCCACTAATCATTGACCGAGACAATAACCCCCTATGAGTGTGGTATAGCACAGGATGCGTGAGCCCGAAAGTACGCTAGACGGCGACGTGGATTTGAGTATGTAAGAATGTATTGATGATGGGGTATCGAGCAAGTGATATATACAAGAAGAGGTGAAGTCTATGAAATGAAGTGATGTGAAGGAGAATAAAAAACCCCATGCGGGGGATGAGCGCACACCTGCGAGACAGCCCAGAAATTTACATTACCTTCGTGATCTCATAATTTTAGTTTTAACACCGAAGTAGACTGCAGGGCATCTGTTCGGTTTCTTCTTTGAACGAGGTTGTACGAAACGCTGCTCAGTGAACGCTCTAATTTTGCTGCCCTAGATCTTTGCCAAGCTGTGGAGACCATGGGTATAGATCCAGGAATGAGATGTTATCCTCTTGACTGTGGACGAAGCTTTCATCAGACCTTGGAAGAGTCCGGTGATGATATCCGGGAAATGATCCTTGCGCAGATGGAATGTCCTGATGTGTGTTGTAAGGTGATGCTGCGGAATGCAACGAGGTTGAATAAAATGAGAAAGGCGACGCTAGAGGGCTGTGATGGGGTTGATCCACTGGACCGTGGATGGAGGTAGGTCCGGTGTATAGGTGTGTCGGAGGAAAGTACGATGAAGAGGCGGTGTCGAACGGTTGGTTGCTCGGTAAGGTACTCAGATCCGTCGACGCAAGATTGCCGCTTACATTTACTGGCGAAAGTGGGTGCCCGAAACCATGGGCAGGGCGAAGAGGATACAAATGCTGAGGCGATGGCCAGCCTTCCTGTCGGACGGCATTGTATGGCGCAAGATTCTGCTGGCCGAACTGGAAGGGCCACACAGCTTGGTGGAGTGGTGCCGCTTCTACTGCTTGCTGGAGATCATTATGGAGTTGCTGAAAGTCTTGATCCTCGCCTGCTGCAGGATCGTACGACTGGGATGGTATCGAAAGCCCATTTCCAGCGCCCCTGATATTGAAAAAGTCGTGTGCGAGTGAACCCTCACCTGGTGCTTGCTGTATGTCGGGTAGAGTATACGAGGTCTGGATTGGGTGTGCTGCGGGTGCATGGGTTTGAGGGGTCTGCGGTGCCGAGGGGAACTTGGCTGGGGCAGGCCTCTTGGCTGGTCGGCGACGAGGTATAGAGCTCTTGTTGGCCCTGCGTGAGGGAGTCGTAGCAGTGTCCGTTTTGTTCTTCTTTCTCTTGACGGGATCGGGGTGTAGGCCCGGCTGGCACTTGCGCTCGTGCTTCAACAGGGCATCATTGCGAGTACACACGACCTTGCACTTCTTGCACATCAAAGGGCTCTCGTTGGCCGATGGATGTTTGGTCCGTATGTGTCGTGCGAGGTTGTTCGTCATGTCGTCACCAGTGAACGGCACATTGCACTGTCCGCACCGAACCTCATCAGGGGACGATGGTGGCGGCGAAGGCGTGGAGGGAATGAAGTGCTCGGGTGCGTTTGTATCGACCAGCGGCTGACCATGTCGAGGATTGGCTGAGCCTTCTGTGAGTTGCAGCGGTAGGCCGTGGCTAGAGTTCGCGTGCGCGTGTACGGTGGGAAGGATGTCGTTGGCTTGATGTTCGGAAGGCGGCGTGTTATCGAGCTGGTAGGGAGGTTAGTCATGGACGCGCAACGAAGCAGAGAATGGTTTACATGAATGCCATGCTGCGACCAAGGATTAGGGGGAGGTGCCGTGACACAATGCGACCCTACGCCAGTGAGGTTGTATGCCGACTTGCCAGCGCCCATGGAGGAGCGCAAGGGACGCTCGAGGCGTTCATCATCGTTGGGGTATATCGGCGGCGACATGCTGAGATGTTGCCCTCCCTCTAGTCCTGTATGAGGTGGGACGAAAGGTGGGTGAACCACCCAAGGTGGTCAGCGGAGGGTGTGAAGGTATGTGTCGCGGTTTGGTCCAATGCGATCTGGTCGAGGCGCATCATCGGTGGGTGAAACAAACGTCCGAAGGAGGGCTGGGGCAGCAGACTTTATGCATGGGAAGGTGCTGCGAAGCCGTGAACGAAGAGCTTCCCAACGGCAGCCAATGTGGTGCGCCTCCAGCCCGCAAGTGTGTAATTGCTCCTTTGCTCGTCCTCCCACGCTGCATTATCGTCACAAGAAGGCTAGCCGGTGCCCCGTGCGGGGACTGATGTATGAGGGGAGAATTCGTAGGGCTAGCCTAGAGGAAGGATGCCGGAAGGATGCCGAGAGCTTTGGATCTTAGATCGCGACCAGGATGGCCTCGTAGGGTGGAGCAATGAGGACGGCCTTTCTGAAGTCGCGCGTTGGTATCTCGTAGAGGGAGGGACGGGGCGAGTGCGCAGCCATGCAGGGAGCTTAGCAATTCAGCAACTGGGGAAAAGGCGATTTGTACGTCACAGGGAATTGTCGTATGAGAACGTGGTGGTACCAAGAGCGTAAGCCACTCAGGCTAGTATACTTCAAGTCGAGGCGGTGCACAGCAAGGCAACCACCAAGCATGGAAGCATAGAAGCTTTTTGCGCCTCAGATCTCATTTCCGCTCGCCGCGCTGCAAACGCACGGCAACTGCAGCATGGAGTAATGGAATAATCCATATTGGCGTAGACGCTTCCCCATCGCGAGCGCGGGAGTGCCTGGCGTCACCGCGAGCGGGGTGTGCAGTGCACAGACCGCGACAGAGGCACCTGTGGACCTATCGTGATCGCAAGCGGGAGGCGGAGCAGCGAAGGATAGTGGCAAATTTTCAGAACGCGCGCAGCTGTTTGGTGTTATGGGAAGCTCTTTGCGCCCAGGCTGGGGGACTCTTACCAAAGCTTCTTGGGTGGTGTGGGTGGAGCGTGTAATCTCCATCAACTGCTGTCCTGCGCACGCCAGCCAACTTGGCGTCGTGGCTTCGCTCATGAAAATTTTCTGAACATGAAACAATGCTCGAACGAAGGTCGAGACGCGTCCTTCGTAAACATGCTGGCGAAGGACGGGTAATTCATCTTGTTCGACGGATGACGTCGGTGGGGGAGGGGTACCGACTCCGTGACGCTCGAAGACGGCGCTTACGGCTATCTCAACAGTCTTCGGATAAGATCTTGGCTTCGTACGTGGCACGCTCAACGCAGCGTCAAAGCGTATCGCACGCTGTATGCAGTCAGCAACGTAAAACGGGTTCTGGCCAGAATTCGTGCGATGTGATGGCGCATGGAGCTACAGCTTCCCCTTAGTTGCACTGTGACCTGTCAGGGCAAGGTACCACTTGACACCGCACATGTCGATCCCGTCGTTCCCACAAACGCCCGTCTGCCGGGCCCTCTCCATTATGGCATCATATTTATCCTGGCCCTTGACGCCGATCGTGATCGACACAAGGCCCTCTGGCTGCCCTTGTCTTCCTGGTATGAAACCCAGCCTGGCGTTCGTGAAGGCCAACAGGTCGCGGCTTCGCACGACGCCAAATATCGCTTCCCACTCCCGTGCGGCCGCTTCGTGACCAAGATCGCCGGGCTGCAGGCGCAGTACACAGCCCTCTAGCGTAAGGTGTTCGGTCCGCTTCATGCCGGCCCTATAGCGGTCGATGTCTGAACCGCAAGCATGCCATGGGGAGAAGCGAGACTGAACTGGCGTTGGATTCTTCGGACCCGGTACGTGGGAATCGAGTTCTGGCATCATGCCGCCTGTCGCCTCGTTAGCCGTATGACCTTGCAATTGGTAGGTGCCAAGCGTACCCTTGATGCCTTTCGGATGGTACTGAATACACACTGAGTCCGTATAACTATGCTCAAAGATGACTTTCGACAGTCCCTTCGCTTCGATGTATTCGCGCCGCTTCTTCGCGTCCTCGGTCTGCATGATGATCATGTATCCGCCGTCGCCGCGCTTCTCGATCAGCCGTCCAGCAGTCGTGCCTGGCTTAATGGGCGAGACCACCTCGATGAAGTCGCCGCCGATTGGTACTGCAGTCATCTTAGTAGCTGGAGCTAGAAAGAGAGAGCGAACGTACTGAGGAAGTTCTTCAACCCCCATTGCTCAACCGCTGGATCCTCGAAGACTACTTCTGTGCCTAGAACGTATGTCTGGCATCTCCATTAGTTCTCGATATATCCACCTTAGCATCGTCGGCCTACAAGCTGCTGCTTCGCGCGTTCGATATCCTTCGCGACAAGTGCAATCTGGCGTAGACGCGTTGGGGCAGGAGCAAGAGCCATGTTTGCGTGGGTGTGTTTCCAACGAAGTTGACGGATGACCTAAGATCCAGTAGAAAGAGTGAAATGATGGGATTGGGACGCGTAATGCCTCATGGACGCTTACTCGAGCTCGGCGGCTCAGCAGCGAGTAGCTGCTTCCCCGCATCAGCAACCGCGGCATGTCCTGAAACGGAAGCTACGACGTTAGTGTCCTGGGTTAGTAGAACATCAATTTGGATCAATGAGAAGATGGATGACATCGCGGGTATCGACTGAGATACGTATCTGAACCGGTGTTGTGACGTCGTCAGGGCGTGATGTTGCGATGTTTCATCGCGACTGCCACCCGGTCGGGCCGAAGTGCCGAAGCACCGATGCTTTCGTCTGGTCTCCAACGCGCCTTCCAACAACACAACAACAACATTCTTTTCACTTCCGCCGCTGATGCGCATCGACATTCACAAGTGAATTCATCTAGTCATCACGGCGAAGGAACGACACGAATTGCGCTCCCTCCTTCGTACGCCTCTCGCGTACATCATCCACAACATGGAGATGGTTGGGCTCCAATGAGTTGTTTGCAAGACCACACCGTAGCCTGGAGGTACACAAACCCCTTAGATCGATCTCCTATTGTCGGTTGCTTCTGCGAACATCGCCTGACTAGGTTTGACGATGCATCATGAAAAGCAGCTTCTTCGTATACGTGGGTCTGTTTACTCACCGACTGACACATCTCTTACTTTACAGTCCTTGACATAAGGTCACCAGGCTTTTGGAAAGCCTGCCTCACCGCGACTGAGCTTCCGCGTGTGAGGCATATCAACTGACTATCATTTGCTGACTTTACTTCATGACATGTCATGCCGCCTTCTTCGGGTCTATCTTCAAACGTCGAAAACGATGCTTCGTAAACAACTTCAGGACTCAATCTACACACAGCGAACTCAACACTCATCTTTCTTTACTACTTTGGATCCACTGGATGGTTTTATAAGGTACGCTTGATGTGACATGCGAGGCCCGACCATCGCCACTTGTCACTGTTGCTATTATGTACGAACTTCACTGGCGTTTGCCGGGCAAAAGATCTGTCACAGTAAGCCATCGATCCTTGACGTCAACCAGAATACAGGTAATGGTAAGAGACAACCAAGGGCCTGACTACCGTCTACGGCCTTTACTCGCGAGCATTCCCCCATCTACCGATCACTGCGCATTATCAACCTCTCCATACATCTTCTCTCTGGTTCTCGGAGGTTTCAGCCTTTGGGTCATGCTTTCTCAACTACATCGACGAGAGTCAAACACAGCTAACACCCAACGTAGTCTTTCATGCTGCATGAAGCGATCTTCATGGACACATTCGCGAGTCATGTCTCCGCAGACTCGATTTCTTTAGTACTGCTGGACTATCGTCTTCATGACATCACACATGCAGTCAGATCTGCCGACTCTACATTGAACGTCCGGACATCACACGTCGAATCACATCTGGTATACCGCATACCCTACTCGGACCGGCTCTGAGCTATGGACACTCTTGCTAGGAAACTCGCTGCGAATATCTAAAGGCCGTTGGGTGTGCCTACAGTTCGCAATCTCATACCTTGGTAGCTATCCTCTGCTTCGCGACTAGCCACACATCCCGAGCCAATCACGACTATTTCATTCATAACGACACTCCACCTACTCCGACAAGAAACCGCGGTCGAGTCGGCAATCATACTGGATGCCTCAATCATGAAAAAGCGCTCGTCGAGGAATGACTGCCAGAGGGCTTTCTTTCACTTTTGGTAGCATGTCCTGAGGACGTACTACACAACTGGAATAGAAAGTAGCCCACAATCCAGCTGATCAGGAGACCCTTGTGCCGCAAAGAAAGAGATCACCTCCTCACAATCACGGTCACGGCTGACCCGTTGAGTCATCCAAAGCTGTCGACCCCTCCCTGATCAAGACAACATTCAGTCAAACAAGATTATCAGTACGTCATCTGCGTCTGTTTCTGACGCGCTGAAGTCCGTTTAAGGGATATACAAACGCTTTTGAAACATTCTATACGCGTCTTCTACGCGTTTTTACGCGTTGTGAGCTTCTGTAAGCGTCTTGTCGGCTTCACCACGGGAGCCCGGGTCCGGTGCCCGAGCGCCCACCCTGCCTGTTCAAATTCGTCTTCGCGGTCACCTTCGATTAAACTCTCTTTTTACGACTCTCATTCAGCTTCGAAATATCCGTTCAGCTTCTTGTCATTCTTTATAAAGGCCGCTGTTCCCGTAGTCGTCTTCCCTTTCTTCCGCCACTCCCTTGCTTCTGTTCCGGAGACGACGAGTCAACCGTTCTGTTCTACGTTTTCTAGGTAAGTCCCTCTTTTCTTTACTGTTCTGTTCTGTTCTGTTTAGCGTTCAGCGTTTTGCTTTGATGGGAGCTTCAGTGGTTTATAGCTCTACAGTGAGCTTGTCAAGATGTCGGACTCTGTCAACAACTATTTCTTCGCGATCGCGGCGGCAACACCGCTTCCTTCTATCGAGGGTCAAGACCCCATCCACAACGGCAACCTCGCACCTCCGCTACCTCGTACTCGTTCTCAAGTCTCCGCACTTCGTTCACCTTTCACGGTTCGACCCACTGTCATTTCCGCACCCGTTGCCA